GGGTCCATTTATGAAATACCCGATAAGTTTTGGATCGGTTCGGGTCTCTTCAGAATCGAACCGAATCGACCCACGGACAGTCCTACTTGCAAGTTGCAAATAGTTCTAGTGAGTTAGAAAAGTGAGTGTTTGGAACATTTTTATTCATTTTTACCCTCAAAAGTAGTTGCCTAGAATTTTCATATGTTACATCACGTACTTTAATAAATTTATTTTAAGAAAGAGGACTGTATTTCAAACAACTCAAAAAGGAAATATGGTCATTCAATCCCATATGGCAAATTATGTTATTTTAAAGATCTTTGAGAACTTGGCTTTTATATTTTTCCTCCAACGGATACTTACAATTGGGCAATGATAATGTTCTGAATCTTCCAATTAATGATCAACTCAGTTGCAGCTCATTTTCTACTGCTAATATTGATTGCCCAGTTCCACCCCACCTGGGTAGGAAATCCTATGGATTTATACACATATCTTGATCATATATGATGACGACTTATCCTACATAAAAAATAAAAAGTGCATGTCCATTAACTTTTTTAGAAATTTTTTCAGTTATTTTTCTTTGGTATAATCTACTTCTATGTAACTATCCTTGTTGCTCTAACCCCACTCTTTATGTTATGAAGGAGTTACTATAGGTGCACCCATACTGGTTGTCCAGTTAAGAAACATGTGGAAAGGGCTTCCCATGATCCAAAGATGGTTATTGCAACATATGAAGGACAGCATGACCATGGTACCCCTCCATCTAAGTCCGTCTGCAAAAATACTGCTGGAAGTGACACTAGTATGTCTATAAATGGTGAATCCAGATCAACTGCCGGAGAAAACAAACCTGTTGGCTTAGACATGGTTGTTCATATTAGTGCAAAAACTCAATAATATTTTCTGCAGCAGGGGGTTAGATTAGCTGCAACAAAATGATTCTGCATGGCATACTATTTTCTTTTTAAAAATATTTTCTTCCAATGGGGTGGTTGAGATTTTCCTGCCCTGTTCTGAGAGGAATGATTTGTACTTAAACATTGGTTTAACTATTTATTGGTTAGAGACTGAGAGTGGAAACTTACTATTGTTGGAAAAATTATTCCAGTGAAAAACAAGTAATGGAAAGTAGATGTTCAAAATAGTTTCTTCAATGCTTTAATAGCTTCAAGTATCCCATCGTTTGAATAGGAGCTAATTCTGAGGCTTCATATAACGTTATGATCTGGATCAGAAGTCGCTTTATTTTAGAAGGCTTGATATAACACCATTGAGTTAATCTCACCATTGCTGGTGAGCTACTGTACTGAACCAACTTAAACTGGCTAGTTCAATCTCGTTCTAGTTTGGTTCAGGTTGTTCCATATAAATGCGAATGGCAAAGAAGATTAAGGCAATTGACTCCAAATTAATGTAGAATAATACTTATTTGTTATTCGATTTGGTACATTTGTATTACAGTAAACAAGGGGAAAACATGAAAATACAAATCTGATTTTGCCTGAAACCTCCTTATTACATGGAAGATCACTGCACGAATTTCACTTCCAGGCACAAGAAGCAACCAAATCTCTATTCAACCAACCGAGATATAGAGCTCCATCTCTTTCTTCAAGCCTATATTTAGTGCAGTAGTTTTGGAGCAACGTCTTGATTGTAGCATTTACCAAAGAACTCAAGGGGTACGGACTAAAACCAGCCATTTTGAACCGCAACTTCCATTTCCCAAGAAGCTCATGACGTTCCACTCTCTCCGTTCCCTCACAGGCTATAATGTTAACAACATCCCTCGCTAAACAATGTTGCTCGACGTTGATTCGCTCCTTGCGTTCTCTGGGGAGAGTTGCATCAATTGATTCAAACATAGCCGTATAATAGTCCAATGCTTCTAAGAACCTAGGAAAAAATGCAGCAGTATTTGTATTGGATTCTTGTTCAACTAATGTCACCACTTTGGGATTTAGGCTTTTGACCAACCTCAATAGCATGTCTCGATGATTTTCGGTACTGACACTTTCATCCGGCATGTGATGTAACATGAATGCAAAATTCACAGCCAATGCCTCACCAGGTCGAATTCCAAGATTTTCAAGGTGAACTTCACATCCGAACATGGATGCAGAATGGAATTCGAAAGGTACTTTGAAAGTCTGAGCAAGCTTAGATAGCTTCCGTCCCACAATATTTGGTCCTCCTCCACGTGCATAAGCTGATGTAGAATCATCGATACCTGTAATCCGGATTTGAGGTGGCCCTCCAGGACGGGCTGCAAATGCTTGGATTAGAGATATCCATTGGCTCCCCTGTCCAATCTGGAAATCAATTATGTGCACTCTATTTTCATCCTTCATAGCTTCTGCAATGGCACCATTTGCAGACATATATCCAAACTTGAAGTATGGGCAGGCTTCATAGAGAATTTTCATATAAGATAGTAGCTCAAAACTCGCAGGTTCTTTGCATCTTAGAGATTTATAAATGGAACTCCCCGAAGAAGCCAGCCTGGCAACAAGCCCCTCCAACATGTAAGCTCCCAGACGCTGTATCGGTTCACCAGAAACAGACACTAGTTGACGCAACTCGGATATCAGCCATTGTGCCATCAACAAATCATTATTCGACACCGCTTTTGCACAAGCAATAAGTACCTTCTTCAAGTCCCCTTTGGGAATGGCCTCCATCATTTGTCTCCAATTGTCTATATCTGGTGTCGCTATAATATTGCTTGGTAAGGTATTGTAAATTGCGAGAATGTCAAGATCAGGTCCCAGCATTACAGTCTCCAGTTCTTTTAGTTTGTGCCTGAAGTCATTCACATCCTCAGTTATGCAAGATTCACTTATAGAGGAGCCATATTTAGTGTCCGGAGATAAACATGGTTCGGTTGGGTATGACTGAGAGTCTTTTTGGGACATAGGACTCGCGCCGGATGAGAAAATGACATTAGATGGCGAGTTATAAACAGTATAATTAACACTCATTGGGGATGACTCTAGCGTGCAATATTGGTCATGAGAGATCTGAATAGAGCAGCTGTTTCCAACATTGCTACTGTTATTGTAGCTTAAGTCATCGCCAAAATGTTGAAATGGTGGAAAATATGCCTCTAACTTTTGTACTGGCTGATATTGCAATGTATTGGACATGCTTGATCTGTTTTGACTTCGTGATGCTTGCATTGAATTGAAAATGTCAGCTTTTCCTCACTATGCTTTCTGATTGGCTTCTAACATGTCTAGATACTAGTGGATGCTTCCATGAAGGGGATCTTCGATTTTTTCTTGAGAATCCGCAGTACCAAGTAAATAAGAAAACTCCTAAGAAGAAAAAAATGAATTCTTGAACAAGGATAAACAGCAAGAACAAGTGAACTCTCTTCCATTCAGGAATTTAGCAGCAAATATGAAGCTTAATTCATGCTACTGAAACTGCTAACTCATATGTAATCGCAGTTTCACATTATGCAGTAAACCCCCTACAGAATTTCCTAAATCTGTTGTTCAGAACAAACGGAACTACTCTCAATTCTCTAAATCATAAATTTTATACAAGCTAAACATAAATTCTTCTGCTATAAGAATCTACTGAACTTCTCTTAATCAAAATAGCAAGATCATATAATTATCTCCCTAACAAAAAAATTGATCCAGACAATTGATGATGCAGTAGAACATGGATTTGTACACTAACTCTTGGATTAACCCAAAAATAAATCTAATTACAATTGTTTTCCTATAAAATTACTTAAATTAAAAGTAAATTAGTAGCAGAATACTAAATGAAACCCATAAATAATAATGTCTCAAATTTCTCAATATTGAGTAGAGTACATAAACCCCCACCTTTTAAAGATCTAAGACCAACCAATTTCCGTTAAGCTCAAACCAATTCTGAACTTAACTCAAGAGCTCTAATTAAACCTTAAAAAAATGGATAGAGACAGAAGCATAGTAAAAAAAAAATCATAGATTCTTCTTAACATATAGCAGATGGGATTTAGAAGAAACGTGAATTTCATAAGAGAATATCATTTCAGTAAGCTTTCAGACCAACCTTAAGTTTGAAGAATCCTCAATTTATCAGTATTCTTTGGTGTTACTGAACTCTAAAAGCACTGATTACACAGAGAAAGAGAGAGAAAGAAGGGATAGATACAGAGACCACCCTGCCACAAAAACAAGAAATTACCAGCCGAAGTATATATATATATATATATAATTAATTATAAAAAGAATGAATAAATAAAGAGAACTTTAAATTGGAGATAAAACACATTAATCCCACTGAGATTCTGTGGGTGTATAGAAGTAGAAATAAATGGGCTAATGCATTGTTTATCGATCACAAGACCAACTAGGATCCAATAATTTAGTCGAGTTTGATAGTTGTGACTCTGCTCTAAATCACTTTATAGAGAGAATGATGGAATTTCACAGTCGAATTCCATATCGATAAAAACTACTTAATTGGTAGATATGTTGCAGAGAATCTTTCACCTCATAGTTATATGACTTAGTAATTTATCACTTCATGCATAGGGCGACAAAAAAATAAGTTCCAACTCGATACCCACTACCCACATCCCGAATGGAGGTGGAGATTACCCGTCTAATCGGATAAACGGGATGGGACGGAGGTCGTTGCCTTAAAGCGGGTACATGAAGCATGATCTTTGTCCCACTACC